TATCTGGTTTAAAAGAGTGAAGACCTCCCCAGTTGAACACAACCAAGGAGAATCTGGATGTTCAGTCTGACTGGTGTCATCTTGTCAGAAATATTTTTCACTGGAGAATCCTTGTGACAAAAAAAAGGGGGTGATCTGCTGGAGGAAGGTTTGCATTATTTTCCCTCCTATGATTGGTAAGAACTCCCATCTGAATTTTTTTTTGCTCATAATCTGTTCCTGAACTTAATCTCCAGCTTCTTCTGATATTTTAAAGCATACAGCCATTCAATTTCCATGACTTTCTTCATAATACCGTAGTTTTAATTTAAAAATAAACAGAGAAATGTAATTTTCTTTTTTAAAAACTGTCTGTATGGCACACACAAATGTGTTGAAGCCAAGCTTCTGTCTATCCTTGCTTGAACTGGGAGAGGCGAAATATAAACTGGAAAAAAAAAGTCTTGATAATTACAGTTTGAAATCAGACATTATGTGGTGTGTGTGTGTGCATATGTTTAATGGTATCAGGAATTTCTGGCTGTCTCATTCCAGGGGTAGTATATAATTCCATTTATCTTAGACATACATTTCATTCTGGTCTGGAGTAAACCCCCCAATTTTAATTGAACATTCTTCAGCTGGATGAAATATTTTATGAATTTAGCCTGGACTTTTAGTGTGATTATCACACTAAGAATACAAAGTTCTTTCCCCCCCCCCAACCTTTATCTCTCAAACTGACCAATACTGTATTAAGCCACCCTATGTTAAATAAATTGCTTCTTTCATTTTCTCCTAGCAAAAGCTGCAGCTTGTCCCAACCATCCCTCTGTTACCTGGAATTTTAGGCTACATTATTAGCATTTTAAAAAGTGGTATTAGCATTTTTAACATGGCAGTCTAGGCCTCTTTTTTAACTTCAGGAAAACACATTTTTTCTTCTTATCCAAGGCCATTTTTTTGGGTATGTGAGAATGTGTCTTTTCAGCACTAAAGAATACAGAGCATATTCTGAAAATCCCTGAATATACTTGCCAAGTTTTAAGAAAGACGCAAACCTAGTTGGGAAAGAATAAAATAATCTATAAATTTGCCACTTGTGGAATGTTATCTAGCATCGATGTTTTCTATTGTTGAAGTCTCACATTAATCGGTGTTCTTTCTTGCTTGATTGCCTGCTTTCTGATATATCACACATACTAAATGTATGAATCATTTGTTTCTGTACCTTATAAAAAGAATCACCCCACCCTTTTTGCTTTGCCCGAATTACTTGGTAATTCATATTTTTGGGTGGACAAAGCAGCCTCTTTGCAAGGATAAAACTATGCCTCTCAAATTCATGGATCAAGTTCTTATCAGCTCCACCAAACTTGGGGATGCTGGAGTTTTGAGGCAACACCTGTTTTAATTTGCTTTACTTGCTATGATGGGTTGGTAGCCAGCCTCGCATATGGCAAGAGAAGAGGGACATAGGATACCGTGGGGAATAGGTGGGTAATCTGGGTTGAAAGATTTAAAAGTCTTAAATCTCCGAATACAAGAAATTTGGAATAGAGAATTGGAGTATTTTATATTTCCCAATGAATCGATTCATTGGCCTTAAGGAATGCTAGTTATGTTTCTTAAGACTTAAAAATTGATTAGTTCACCAAAAGGGGGGGAAAAAGAGGGAGGGTTTATTGAAGTTTTCGAAATATGTTTTAAATATATTGGCTTTTATCTTGTCTATGTTGGAGACATAAATTGGAAGGAAGTTTGGCATCTATCTCAAAGGCACATCTGCTTCTAATACCCTATTGTTTTGGTACCATTACTATACTGAACAAGGTTCTTGGAAGGCAGTTAATAACTAAATATATTAAAGTTTTGCTAATGTATATCCCCCAAATCTGGATTCCTTCAATCTGTGAAGAATTTGAGAGAAATGCAGGTAGTCCTTGACTTACAACAGTGTATTTAGTGACCATTCAAGGTTACAAAAGCACTGAAAAAGTGACTTATGATCATTTTTCACACTTATGACTGTTGCAGCATTCCCATAGTCACATGATCAAAATTCAGACACTTGGCAGCTGACTCATATTTAGGACAATTGCCATGTCCTGGGATCATGTGTGATCACCCTTTGTGACCTTCTGACAAGTAAAGCCAATGGGGACAACAGATTCACTTAACACCCATGTTACTAACTTAACAACTGCAGTGATTCACTTAACAACTCTGGCACGAAAGGTCATAAAATGGGGCAAAACTCACAACAAATGTCTTACTCAGCAACGGAAATTTTGGACTACTTGTATTAAGTTTGGACTGCAGCAAAAAATAAAATAAAAAGCAGATGCGAAGTCATGGATGAATAGCAATAGCACTTAGGCTCTCTCTAAGAGGTTTACAGAGTTAGCCTTTTGCCCCCAACAATCTGGGTCCTCATTTTAGTAATCTTGGAAAGATGGAAGGCTGAGTCAACCTTGAGCAGGTGAGGATCGAAATGCTGCATTGCTGGCAGTCAGCAGTCAGTAGAATTAGCCTGAGGTACTGCATTCTAACCACTGTGCCATCACTGCTCCTGAATGGTGCTGTTCCATTAAGTTGACTTAATGACATTTGTCAGCTCTATGCCACTGAATCAATTGTGTAACAATGGAGAAGCAAGAATGGACAATATGGGGTGGCTTACTTTAGGATCAATCTATTCAAACACTGAATTGTAATGAGGAAATTATAAAACTTCAACAGCTTTATTTTTTACCTATGTTTTTTTTTAGCAAGTAGGTAACATCATCAGTGCGAGTGAGTGTGCGGTTCTTCCCGTTGTGTTGGATCACCCTGGGAGAAAATATTGCAGGATCCTCTTTCTAAGTGTTTAAGTAGAGGAGAACTCCAGATTTGAGTGAGTCTGAATGGGTCCGTTTCAGTGACAGACCCATTCTTATGGAACAATTTGCCTCAATTTGCTAATTGAATCACTGCAGTTGTTAAATTACTAATACAGTTGGTTAAGTGAACCCGTCTTCCCCATTGACTTTGCTTGTCAGAAGGTTACAGAAGGGGATGACGTGACACCCCCCCCAGGACGCTGCAACCATCATAAATATGAGTCAGTTGCCGAACGTTCTGAATTTTGATCACGTGACAACGGGGATGCTGCAACAGTCATAAGTGTGAAAAAAAGGTCATAAGTCACTTTTTTCGGTGCCGTTGTAACTTCGAACAGTCACTAAGTGAACTGTTGTAAGTCAAGGACTGTCTGTATTGTTTTCAATAAGGCAGAGCTATGGCATCCCTACATTCTTATGTCAGGCTTTTGAGATGACTAAACCAGAATCCAAATGGGCAAACTATTCAGCAGTATTGAGTGAAAGAATCCTTCCTTCTAATTCTTAGCAGTATGGGAAAAATGCAGCTGAACTGAAACCTTGCAGAGAGGGACCCCAACTCTTGAAATCTGACCTCAGTCACTAGGCCACCCTTAGTTAGCAGCGATCCTTCCAAGCAGGAGGCTGTTGTACCTGCACGTATATATAGCAAGCTTATCCTATCCAGCTAAACCAGATTTTTCAAATGGCTTGGAAAGAGTCAAACAACATCGCTGCATCATTATATTTTCCTTGTCCTTCTTCCAGTGACTGCTTTTCGTATATGCCACTTTAAAAACTGCCCTGCCTACCATGGGCTGATTCATTGTGGAGGCAGCATTGTCTCTGGGAGAGCATCCAGAGCCTTGGCAGATTCGCTTTCTACATCAGCCTGGCTGACTAATTCTTTGTTCTGTCTAACCCAGTATGAATACCGGAAGGGGGAATCCCAGTGCATTCCTCTAATATCTCTGAAAATAGGCCAAAACTGACATGCTTTGCCACCTAAGTAGATCACTGAGGTGAATCACAGCTTTGAAAAACTGTAAACGAATCAGCATCAGTGAAGGAATAAAAATATAACTGAGTTTGGAGAGAGATGAAGTTGGATGATTCAGTGGGCAGAGATCACCTGATTTCTTATTATTTATAATCTGGGAGGATTTAATTTTGAGCTAGGGTTTGCTCTAAGAAAGATTAAGCTATTTTATAATTCCACTAAGTATGAATTGTATTTTCTGGGCTGTAGAAAGACTGCAGACAAATCATGTGTATGGTAGTAAAAAATTACCAATCTGATAAGACCTCATGTTCATCCATCAGTGGAAGATTTATAGAATTCCACTTTTTTCTTGATGGATTCTGAATTAAATACCTCTGTTAACATCAAGCTGAAATAAGTAAATCTGAAATAAATACATTCTGAAAGCTATTACCATAAACTAATAGCTTTTAGAATGGTAACTGGCTTCTGCTGAAGCAAATAAAGACTCTTGCGATACTTTAAAAGAAAAGATTTATTGCATGATTTGTGGATCATTGTCCACTTTATCTGATGAAAAGAACTCAGATCCACAAAGGTTTATACAGTTACCAACTACTGTGCTACAAGATTCTTTACAAGATCCATATAGTATGGCTTCATACATCCTAGCACTGCATTATTAACAAATCTGATAATTCTAAAAGTCACAATTGAACGCATTTCATCTTCTTTATGCTGGCTTTCCATTCTTACATGATTACTAATGCTAGTACAATACAACAGGGATCCCCAATGCCCAGCGTGAGCATTTGTGTGAGTGGCGGGTGGGCACGCAGGCCTGCTGCTTGTGCAAATGGAGCTGCACCTGCTCACCCGCCACTTGTGCGGAACCATCTCCTCTTCCCCTCGCCAATCCACAAAGCCAAAAAGATTGGGGACTGCTGCAGTACAGTACCCATAATTGTCTAACTCTCTAAAGAAGTACGTAATACTTCTAAAGAAGTATTTTTCAGACTTCTTCTTAAATACCTGCAGAGTTATGCATATGAGCCTATTGCAAGTAGAGTGAAGGGGTGACGGGTCATGAGAATCAGGGTGAAATTGTGCAGGAATCCCAAGCCTGCCCTGCCATATTACACTCCCATTATTGAGTTTGGAAAGTGCATCCAGCCCACCTCCTTGTATGCAGCCGTCACATGAGTGTAGATGAGGCTCCTCATCTTGGCCCAGGCTCTCTGAACCTCTGGAGCACTGAACTCATTGGTGTACTCTTCCGCAAGCACTTCCAGCATGACGCCAGTCAGAATCTGGGAGAAGGACGAAGAGGAAAAGTTAGGAGAACAGGATTTCTCATTCTCCTCTGTAGTTTCAAAACAAAGCATGACCGTTAGCCCCTCCCCCTTTTAAACTGCTATTGCTTTGGCTGTGTGCTGCCATAATGGACGTTTATTCTCACTTTCTGTACAATACCCAGTAGACGAATGACAAGGTAATTAATAATAACATAAAAGCACTCTTCCTTAATATTGTGCTTCCCTGGGATTTTAGACTATAACTCTTTCATTCCTTGGTAGGTTATTTTAGGCTAAGGCAGTGGTGGCGAACCTATGGCACAGGTGCCAGAGACGGCACTCAGAGCCCTCTCTGTGGGCACGTGCGCCGTCGCCCCAGTCCTAGGCCTTCAGCTGGGTTTTATAAAACCTTTTCATTTTAGACTTCCGCCGTCGTGTGCAAAAAAAAAAAAAGGTTCATCAATCAGTCAATTTCAACTTCTCGCGGGGAAAAAAAAGATCTTGCAAAGTTGGAATTGATTGATTGAATTTTTTAATCCCACCCAGTCTGCCATTACCACCGCAGCCACGCCCACCCAATGGGCCACACCTACCCAATTGACCACACCCAGCCAATGGGCCACACCCACCGGGCACCCGATGATGCATAAGTGGGTTTTGGTTTGCAGTTTGGGCACTCGGTCTCTAAAAGGTTCGCCATCACTGGGCTAAGGGGTGTACCTAAATAATTTTAGGGCGTGGGTATAAAGGTCTTAAATTTCCTGATCTTTCCTAATCATCTTAGATGACTAGGTTATTTCAGTTCAGAAGCACAAAACTAGAAGTTCTCCTTTACCTCATAGCCATTTTATCCTTCACAATTGTTTGCCCATTTTTAGTAGACTACAGGGGGCAAAATGAGATTTGTCCTTGATGCTCTGAGCATGTGTGGTGAGGCTATGCACCCATTGAAAATGACGCAGAAGAAATGCTTTGGATATTCAAGCTTGAGCACAGCACATTTTCTGCTATTCAACAAGGCAGGTTAATGTGATCAAAAGTTGCGACTGTTTTATGAGTTACTCATTTTAGTGATTCGGTGCTTATAACTTGAAAAGTAAGCATTTAGTTATATTAAAGTTGGGCTTGTCTACTATTTTTTTCCATCATCTGACATGTCCTACGTGGCCATTTCAGCAGCCTGTGGGACTCTGAATTTCAGCCCCAAGGTTGCACCACAGCTTGCGCTGAGGGAACTGTAGAACAGACTGTTTGGATGGCAACACAACATATTACCAAAATCAAATCAATAGAACAAAATCAGCGATAAAATTAGACGACCAAATACTTAATAAAAGCAAGGGAGTTAGGAAAGTGTTTTCTTCATGTTGGAAAAACTATATGCCAAGAAAATTCTGCAAGCAGGAGCTCCAAAAACTATCACCAACAGATATAAAAGTTATTAAGAAAACAGCTTCTTTAGTCAATAAAGAGTCATGGGATAGCTCATCTAGAAGCAGATTTTTTTTCCAATAGCTACCTTAAAATTAAGTATTTCCATTCAAACTGGACGGGGACTATTTTCCGCCCAAGTGAGATGTGTTTCAATTACTAGTTCTAATTAGTACTTTAGCAGCTGCATTTTATGCTAATCCCTGGAACTGAAAAATGATTCGGCAAGTGCTTCAGCCTTCATGTGAGTGCAGTATTTTATTTTATTTTGCTATTTATGAAAACAGCCTTTTTCCGGGCTTCTTCAAAAGCCTAAAAAAAATATGTTTTTCTTTAAGGAATCAGAAAGATTCTTAAGCAGTGGACTCATACAGAAGTCTGAAAAAAAAGATGGGTGTGTTTGAATAAACTGCAGGGAAGTGCTGCATATATACCACGTCTAAAGCACTTCTGAATCACTTTCAAAGTATGAACAACCTCCCACCTGGTCTGCCTTCAGATATAGTCCACTTGCAGTTCACTACAACAATCCTGGTTGAGGATTCCCATTGCATAAATAACTCTAACCAAAGTATTTCTATCCAGGAGAGGCTGCAGTAGCCCCCCCCCTTCCCCCCTGTTTGCTATAGATTAGAAATAATAGAATTACAGCGTAAAAGAGACTAAAAATAAAATATATGAGAGCATTCATAATATAACTTATAGCTGGTGTCCCTAGCTTCATGTTTGTATCTGAAAATCTAATTGGAAGTTTCAAGCACAACAATCACAAAAGACACCAATCTTGACAGAATAGTGCGCAGATCTGATATTTTAAAAGTATGTTGCAAATATTCATTATTCATTGTAAAAGGCTGAGACTGTTTCATCTTTTTTCAATTTACCATTTAACTTTTTTCTGAGTCGGGACACACTTTAGATAAAACAAACAAACCAAATCTGGACTTTAGCTACCACCTTACTGCTCAAAAATAACCAGTGACAGTTTTAGAAAGAAAAGAAAATGCTTTGTGCCATGCCAGCTAAGCTTTTTGGTTTGGTTTTTTTAATCTTTATAACAATATGCCCTGCTAATTTAAAGCATCTATATCACAACAAGATAATTTGTATCTGATTGCTAGCTGATATTCTGAAATGTGTTCTGCCAATCTTCTTCCTCTCTGTTCTACATTGTGACTGCTATAATCTTTAGTGTTTCAACTGGGAAATTGTTGATATTTTAGATCAAGCCAAATCCAAAAATGCTAAGGAGTTCCTGGAAAGTTGGCATTCTGACAAATCAGCCGTGTGTGTGTGTGTGTGTGTGTGTGTGTGTGTGTGTGTGTATGTGTATGACAGATCTAGATTTCAAAATCAATAGAAACAGATCTGCAGTAAGGTGAAGTTGCTCCAAGTGCTCTATTTCAGTCAAAGTCAATAGCTTGGGTCAAAGGGCATGAGCAAATAAGGGCTCATTGACTTGAGATTCTTTAGCAGAAAGTATATAGTTCTCCAGAACTGACAGAGGAAATCAATCCTGGAAAAAGACACAAAATAATAATCTCTACAGAGTGGCATTATATAACTGCAGTATTTTCCATTCAAGTAAAAGACTTCTGAAGGACAGAAAGACACTCTAGTCTTCTCCATCTGAAAATGACAACCTGAGTAACCTTTCAAATCGTCCTTAACCCACAATTAAAAAAAAAAGTTTTTGGGAAACAGCAATTAATTCAAGTCTGAGTTTGCTGCCTCCCTGTAGAATGATTAATGGAAAAAAATGTATATGTATTTGCTGGTCTCTGCCTTTCCCTTATAGGTACTCTTAGGATATTGCAAACAATCTCAACTCAATCCAAGTGTCAAAACAAATGGGAATGATTGTAAACAGAAGCCCCTAATGTATACATTTCGTTGTTTGTGGATCTTACAAGTAAACTGAATATTGATGATTACACCGCAAAATGATATATAGATTCTGTTATTAGAATTAGATGGAGATTCTTCATCATTTAAATACTTTTGAGATATTAAAGCACCAAATTTGAAATTGCCAATGACTATTAGCCAGGCATTATTACCATTTTATGTCTGCTTTATTTGGTTTGGGGGCTTTCTTATCAATGTTCAAGAACATGGTTTTTCTCTTACCTTGAAGTAGACAGGGTCGACTTTGTGCTTGACCGCATGTGCCTTGCCCACCAGAGCTAGCACAGAGGAGACCTTTTCTGAATCATATATGTTCTCCACCACACTATTAATAGCCCCCATGACCCTCCTGGCATGTTTCCGCAGCTGCAGGCTTCTTTCCATCTCTAGTGGATCTTCCATGTGCTTGAACTGGCTGAAGTACTGCTTGGCAGATGGGAAGTTGACAAAAAATCTGCACAATACCAAAGAGAGAAGAGTGCCAAGTTAGTTTGGAAAACAATATGTCCCAGTGTGTTTTGGGGTGGGTGGGGAGGAAAGAGCAATGGAAGTGAAGTGAAAGCCTTAAAAGTAAGGATTTTGAGAGGGAGACCCGGATGCCATTTTTCTCACATCATTAGGACAGCTTCTACCACAATGTTAGCTTCCAGACGAATTGTAATCATGCCAGCAGAAAAGTCAATTGTTTTTAATGAATTTTGGGGAGCCATTTTATATGGGAGCATTTTAAAACTGGAAGAAGGCTGAACTTCAAGTGATTTTACTGTGGAAGTAAAGTAAAAGTAAATCTACTTTTATGTGGAAGAGCTGCTGGGGTGAATGCATATCACCATATTTATCACTTCCTTTCACTGAAAATTTGCCTGTCCGTTGCAGCTAGTTTAAACCAAGCCAAGTGCTTTTATTTCAGCCAATATATTCCCCAGGATGATACTTTTAAGTTTCTTTAGAGATGATTATCCCTTTAGCTCACTTTTAAGTCAATGTATAAAACTCTGCCAAGCATTCATTTGTTCATTCATTTTATATGATGTGTTGTTAAATTTTCAAATTATCCTCACAGGAACTTACAATAAAAACAGTGTAAGCAATTGTGGGAGGAATCCAGAGAAAGAAATATTTTGGGGAATATTAAAAAGGCAGAAACTTATCCTACCCCCAGCTAAAAAACTCAGCATAGGCCAGCTTTTAGAAATACAAATTTAATAATCCTTTCAGAAAGGTTGGAGCCTTCCAGCTAGAAACTGAAGAGATTAGGAAGACAAAGACACCTAAAATCTACATACCCCACCCAAACTCTAAAAGACATGACCTTTGGGGACATAATAGGATTAACCCATCAATACCGAAAGGGCACACTCAGGCTCAGGTCAAAGTACATGACACAGGAAATACAAAGCCTCAAACAGGAACAGGAAACAACCTCAAAAGCCCCAGAAGATATAAAAAACCCCACTCCCAACTACATGTGGTCAGTTTTTCCCAGAGCCATCTTTCTGTTTGGCTTTCCTCTTCAATAAACTGCAACCTTCTTTCTAAAGCAGTCTCCATTTTGTTTATTCCCAGCTTGGACTGGACCCTGATGAAGATTTTTCTTTCAACACAATAAAAATGGTGTAAACAATATAAAATGATTAAGTCATCCAGTCTGAGGACAAGGGTAGTGGGCCAATGTATCACAATTTAATGATGAGAACATTTGGTTCATGCAAAACTCTGCTTTGTGGGAACACCCAACCAACCCTTTGTTCTGTTTTTTTTTTCCAATTTTTTTCAGCGATGCATGTATAGGAGAGGTAACACCATTGAACTGGTTGAAACAGTAGTCTAGTTATTTTCTTAATGGACTATTGGGGGTTTATGTACTAATTTGCATTCATATTCTGCTTTTTTCCCGAGAAACCCAAGCTGGGGGGCACATTTCTATCCTTTCCAACAATTTTGGGGAGATAGGATAATGATTACAGATGCCTAGAGTGCTTCTTTGCTGAAAACATGGGAAAGGATTAGCATTTGAATGGATCAGAATTTCAGTCAGGTTCTCCCCTTCTACTCCCAAATCCACCTTGAAAAGCCTTGAACCATGTGGCATAGAATGGCAGCCTGAGGTAAATTAGCCATGGCTTTGAGAACTGCTTTCTTATGCTTGCACAGTTTGCTCTTCAAGCAAATTCCTAGTAGGCCAGTTTCACTCGGAGACAGATGGGGGTGGGGGAGGGGGGAAACAACCACCTGGCTGTTTCTGATCCTGACTGTTTCCTTCACCCACACACTATGACAGAGCAGCAGACTCTTTGGGTTCCACTTGATTAGGTTGTTCCCACTTGGCTGGTCTCACACAAGAGGTTGTCAGGGAAGCCATATGAAGCCGCAAATGGAATAACCGCATCTCCCGCTGCTTTTCCTTAGACATCTGGGATTTATTAGCCTGCCTAAAATAAGTTCTGAAGTGTGAAGAGTGCGTGGCAGCAAAAGGACAGGAAAGATGAGAGACAGAGAGCCGCAGGGGGAGGATTAAGTGCTTTATTTTGCCTTTTAAATATTCTTTCCATTTTCTTTCTGATCCAGTCCAAATGCCAGTCTCTCTAGCTGATTTTGATAGAAGGAAAGTTGCTTCTCTCAAGGAGAGAAGCAACCTGGAATTTAAGGAGAAACTTCCTAACTGTCCCAGTGAGGACAATTAACCAGTGGAATAACTTGCTCCTAGAAGTTGTGGGTGTTCCAACACTGGAAGTTTTTAAGAAGAGACTGGACAGCCACCTGTCTGAAATGGTATAGGGTCTGCTGCTTGAGCAGACCGTTGGACTAGAAGACCCCCCAGGTCCCTTCCAGCTCTATTCTGATTGAAGGTTGCTGTTGATTAAGTCATATTCTCAGGTTTCTCTGCAAAATACAAATCTGTTCAATGCTTATTTCTGCCAGCAACAATAGATTCTGCCCAAATTTTTTTCCCAGGGTCAAAAAGCAACTGTCTGATAGATGGTCCCAAAGCAGCTTACCCCTTTCTGGAAAAAGAGGTAGCCAAGCAAGTGAGACAAAGTGGATGCCAGATTGATATCTTAGTACAGGGGTGTCAAACTCAATTTCATTGAGGGCCATCCGGCCCCCTCAAGGGGGCCAGATGGGTGTGGCCAGGGTGGGTGTGGATGGAGTGGGTATGGCCTAATGGGTGGGCATGGCCAGCTCTACATTGTTCGATTCAAGGGTGCCTGTGGGGGCCTGGGCAGGAGTGGGACAGATCTGAGGATCTGTGGCAGAAGGGGGTGGGATCAGGGCAAGTGCCAAGGCATGGACCACTGGAGGAGCCTCACTGTCTGCTGAAACCCCTTCGCCGGAGCCCATCAAGCCGGATATGTGAAGTAGGCGAGCACCATTTGCTGGCCACTTCCAGGCGATGGTGCATTTCTTCATTCCTCACAAAGGGTGACACCTCCCCAGCATGCACCCGGGGGGGGGGGCGACATGGCAGGGGCTGGTTCCTCGCTGTTTCTAGACAGCCTTGTGGAGCTAAGACTGAGTGCATTTCAGCATAGATGGCCACCACAAAATTGTACATTGGCTCCCGGCCGGCCTGGGCCAGGGCCAAAGCAATGGGGGCCGTTCCCTCACTGTTTCCAGGATGGCTTCGCGTGCCACATGAAACCACTTCACGGGCCGCATCCGGCCCCTGGGCCTTGGGTTTGACATGTCTGTCTTAGTAGAATAACTGTTGTGTTACAAAGGAGGAAAGGATGAGGATGAGGATTCAAAGCCAAAGGATTGTTGCCGCCTCTAATATCTTAATTAGGACGAGCCAAAATGGCAGAAAAAGTATGAAATCTTTGAAACATCTTCGCAAGCAAGCATGTTACAAAAACCAAGCTGCCAAGATTAATTTACTCTTCACTAGAGATGCAGAATTCAGTTGGGTTATTAAAGTGCAAAAGTAGCTGTGCAACCTATCCTTGCATTTCTGATCCTTGCAGACTTGTAAAGCAAAGGAAAGCTGCAGTAAGATCATTAGCACAATTCCGTCAGCAACTATTTTGTTTAATAACCAACTTGCCTGTACCAACTATGGTTGCTAAATGAGGATTAGCTGTATAATATATTTTTCTCTGTTGTTCTTTCCTTACTATCAGATTTCTTGTCTCAGGACAGCAAATCTAACTTATATTTCCACTTCTGTGTATACATTGCAGAAGCTATGTGTCAGATTTCACTAAATGCTTCCTCTCTTTGAAGGTGTTTTCTATCTGAATGAGTGTGCAATGCAAGTCTAATTAAAAGGCCTTGGGGGGAAAAGAGAGAATGAAGAGCTCTGAAAGTGTCAGTCAAAAATTAAGAACTGGACAAATTCAGATTTAGTGGATGACTGGTTACCTAGTCATTGTGATAATAGCTGTGCTTTTTCTTCTGTAAATTATGGCTATTATTTAAAATCTACTTTTGTACATATATATTAGTAGAAATAAATTGTATATAAATCCTTACTGATTAAGGGTTCCTAACTGGCCATGCTGATTTATATGAATGCATCCACATCAGAGCTTCACTTGTTCCTTTCTGATGCTAAATTGGAGGGTGAGTGTTAAAAAGTTTTAAAAAGAAGGCAGAGGACAGAGTGAAATAAGCTTTTAGTTACATATTTGGGTGCCCATACACATATTAACAGAGTGAGATTCGGCCCAGTTTTAAACGTAACTCTTGGATAGGAAATGTGGAATATGAGAAGACTATTGGAGCCCCTCGAGAGCTGGTTTCTCAGCACCAAATTAAATCACCACTAATTTGATTTAGGTGAAGGTAGCATTGTTTTAAAGAATGCTGCCCTCCTAAATCACATAATATAAAACTAAATAAGTTATATTGCGCTATTGCTGTCTGCTCTTTAAATAGGAATGAAACCAGCTCAGCACATATAGATTGTGAGGAATGTATATAGGTATATAAAAATAGAAGGTGCAACATTTTGCAGTTCTGTATGGAGCATTTTAAATTCTAATGGTCCTTTCTGTTTTTCCTATCCTCTCCCCTTCCCAATCTCTACATTGGCCTTTCCTCCTATCCCAGTGGTGGCGAACCTATGGCACGCGTGCCAGAGGTGGCACTCAGAGCCCTATCTGTGGGCACGCACGCTATGCCCCGGAGATGGCAACTGTCCCTCTTCAACTAGCCGCCCGCTAACTCACCGAGGTCCCACATGGCCGGATGCATCCCAGCATGGCTGGTTTCCCTCCTCCCCCCGGTCCCATCCCTCCTGGCCTCGCATGCTCTTCTTTTCCTGGGTACAACCCACTGCATCGCCTCCTCAGCTGTCGGCTGGCCAACCAGCTCAGAGGCAGCTTCTCTGAACTGCTGGCGGCGGGCTGCAGAGCTGCTGATAGACACTGTTGGCCCCCATGCGCTCGCTGGCCTCTGTGTGTAGAGGCTGATGGTGGCAGGCAGCAGCCGCCCCGGCCTCGCCTTGCCCTG